TTCTGGGGCATGACAGAAACAAACACTTGTTCAGACAGAATTCATGTTCTGCTTCAGACTGTCTTCTGTGAACACTCTGTCAGAGAATCTTGATTTTAGCTGATAAACTGTTTCCTGAACCCTTTTGTTGAATTGGTTTTGTTTGAATCGCTCAGCATTTCACTGGGTGAGGACCTGGCATGCAGATGTTGATTATGCTCCTCTTCTACAGTGAGTATCACAGAAAAATATTTGAAGCTGTAGCCAAAATGCTCTAGCAGGCACAAATTAGAGTCTGAAAGATGCTTTGGAACAGCATGGATGGAACTGTAACCTGTTCTGTAGAATTATGCTGGGAAGCAAATGTTAGGTCTCTGGTGCTGAAATGGTAAAAATTAACTTCATGCACAGTCCTTAACAGTGGAGAACAGAGGGTTGGAAAGAGTGAACTGTCTTTAAACAAAGATAAAGCCTCTGCTGTGACCTTGCTACTCTGTGTTTTCCAGTAAGAGTTACTAGCTTAAGGGATGTGTTTCCTTGAGAGCTTAGAATCCCAGGAAAAGAGGCACCCATGGGAACATTATAATATTTTGCATGGAAAGGAGATGTGAAACAGAACTGGCAGAAGAAGGAATTATGTGATCTAGCATAAATCTAATTTGCCCTTTAATTTTAGCCATTCTTTGATACTTCTACTTGTGAGTATTATTTATTCAGTGGGTCATGAATTTCTTTCAGTCTCTGAGCACATAAAACCTCTGGGGTGGATGGAGAACCAGGACAGGGAGCTGTGGGAGGTAACAAAGCAAAAATCCTCTTTGTTAGTAAATGCTGCTGTGCAAGGGGCAGCACCTCTAGACAAGATTTTTTTAGATGGCCCCAAAACCTAAAAGTGATGAAAAACAACCCTCTAATATCACTGTGTTGCCTGTGGTTAATCTGTTGAGAAAGTGAAATATATAAGGACATACTGTAATGATTATTTTTAGATGTTTCAATGTTTAATATTTGAGGTTGACAGCCAATTACCTGATCTGAATTGCAACTGGATCCCCACAAAATGTGTGTTTGTATTGAATGATCAGGAGGCTTTGTGCTCTAGCAGTTCAGTAGCTCTTGTTTTTAGAAGTTTCTCACTTGCCTCACGGGAACTTTGAGGTTTGGGTAGCTAAAATACTGATTTCACTGGGGACCTAATCTTTATTACATTCAGGATCAGACCAGGTGGTGAACCTGCATTTCTGCTACTTGTAAAATATCTAAATTTTTCAGTGTGACATTGAATGGGGGTTGCATTGGAGCAGTTTTCTGACTCCTCTTGCAGGAAATGGTTAAAAAGGAATTTCTGCACATCTGAAAAAGTAGTCAGAAGAGCAGAGTTTGTTGCTTTGTCTCGACTGCCTGATTGTGGATTAGGCTTTGGGCTGTCTGCTTTAAATATCAGAAGAGAGGAGCTCCCTTTGTACAGGCAGAAGACAAAAAGTCTTGACGCTGCAAAAGCTGGTGAACTGATAGCAACTCAACTTGTGGGTATTCTCTTCAGAGCTTTTGTGTTCTAGCATGCAAAATTTAAATCAAAACTTGTTTTGATAAGCAGTACTATTCTATTTATTACCTGTAATGTCAATGTATGTTTGTTATATCAAGTTTGTTAATACATCAGTTGGGATTGTTTATCTTGTCAAGAGCAAGCTCTCAATTTCAATTTTCTTTCTAGGAAATGCAGAATAGTTGATGCTGAGGAGTGAGAGTGACTTACAAAGTATTCATAAGTCTGAAAATGCCAAAAGTTACATATGCTGTGTCATTTTACTTTTTTTTTAATTATTATAAATTTTTAATTGGTATGTTTATGCTTATTGCTGAGTGAATTCGTTGGAGGTTTGGTTCCTGGGCTGAGGGGACAGAGTTATTTGCTGGAAAATAGAGACTCTCAGCAAAAAGAAAGCCATGATTAGGGCACACATTTTGTCCTGCTGTAAGTCTGTTGTTATTGCATAGAAAAGTTTTCTGCAGAGAACAGTGAAGAATGAGCCAGTTCATTCTTCTCTACAAGAAACCACCTTTGGTGTGCTCCCTGTAGAACTCAGATTTTCAGGGTTGCTGAAAGGAGGCAGCATTGTGAACAGGATGGGTTTCTGTGATGAAAATGTTGTAGCTAACTGCACAAAGTAATGTATTCTCTACTACAGGGAGCATACAGAGCCTGGCTGAATTGTAATTAATGTTCACTTTAATCTCTGATGTGTACAAACAGGTGTTATTCAAAATTTTCTTATACACTCTTTTAAAACACTCATGTAAATGTGTGTTAGATTCTTACATCCAAGGGAGCAAATATTCTTTTTAATGTCTGAATGAAACCTTTACATTCAAATGCTTTCACATATTAATTATGCAAGCTGTAAATTCCTTAATTCTAAATTGCTTTTGCTATAGCTAGTATTTAAGTGTAAAAATATTGAAAAATATTGCAAAAATCTTCTTTCAAAGATTGCAAGGGAGATGGGACTGCTTCACCAGTTCTGGTGCATTAATGCACATTATAAGCTTTGCTCCTCTTGCCTCTTGTAAAAAAAATCCATGAACTAACTTAAATTAGAGTATGCTATTTCAAAATGAAGAGATCTCCTCATGCAAGTGAATCTACCAAATTCACATCCATTCTCTGGGTGAGGCCATCTTCTAGATCCACAATTAATAGATCCCTTGCCTTGGGTAATATATCATCCTTAAACCTTAATGCAAATATTAAGGTTTTTCTTTTAATTACTGTCAGAGTTCCTCCTGTTACTTTAGTGACTTCAAAGCAGACCTCAGTAAGCAGAAATCCTGCAAGATGAAATTTAAGTGCCATGCCTCAGCATGAAGGCACTGTGGAAAAATAAATGCACTCTTGTTTAGTCTGAACTTTGCCTTGTTTTTTTTTCTAAACATTCTTTGAGGAGCTCTGCTCCCTAATTTTCTTTTTGCCTCCTTCCTAATCTCAGAAGATAACTGTCCCATGTTAGTGGGGGGAAAATTGTTTCTGTAAACTGCTGGTTGTTTTGGGTCACAGTAACGAGGGAAATCAGCAACTTCAGCAACGCAGCTTTTCAACCATTGCTAGAAATAACTAATAAAAATATTTTCAAGGTAACTTTTCTGTAACTTCATTGCTCTTAAAAAGAAAAAAGGCATTCAGTAATATTCATGGTGGGCATTGTGCATTTTCTGCTGTGCTTTGGTCAGGACACAGTGCTCAGTGCAGTTTCTTAACAGGCATAGAAGGGTGGTACTTTGTAATTTGCAGTTGCTGGAGTTTGGGTAGATTTTGTTAATTTATTTAAGAAAAGGTAAAACAAATGATCGTGTGCACAAATAGAATGTCTCCTGAACTACAAACTAGCAGAAGGGTTTTATCACAAAGCTTTCAAAGCTGCTTAAATTGTGGAGTTTAGTGGTGTTTTGGCAGCAGAAGCTGAAGTTGTTGCATTGGAAGAAACTGATTTAGCTTGACTTTTCTACTTTTCTTTCCCCAAGAGAGTGGTGTAACTGTCCTGCAGGGAATGTTTTTTGGAAGTGACACTGTTTGCTGGTTTTGTGCTTATTTGTGTATGGGCTTGAAATGTTCAACATGTTTGTTAAATTGTTAACCCAGGGAAGTGATGGTGGTGTTGGGTTGCATTTATGACAGTTTATGTATCTAAAACTGAGTGGTATTTCATGTTGTGTGAGAAAGAGAAGAGGGCAGCTCTGTGTCCTGGCAGGATTCCCTTTTTCAAACATCCAAGGCCATTCTGAGCCAAACAGTGGAGCTGAGAACTTCCAGAGGAAGCTCCTGAGCCCTCTTGCTGAGCAGCCTGAATGGTGATTTCTTGTCACCTCATCCTTGGCACTGTCAGGGTTTGCTGAAGGTTTCAAGGTCACTTTTGTATTTTGAATGCTTTTTTATGTCCATTATTTTGAATTTCAGTTAAATTTTGAGTGTTTCCAAAGTTGAGAGATTCCCCAACTTCCCTGGGCAACTTGTTGCAGTGTTTCACCATCCTTGTTGTGATAAAAATGTCTCTAATTCTCTAAAAATATTATTTGTGCCTTTTTTCTGTCTTATTTATCAAAGAAATAGTCTGGCATAATTAGAAAATAATTACAGGCATGACCAAGTTTATATCACTTGAAATGTAAACCAGAAGGTTTTAATTGTAAATACTCCTTATCACAGTACCTGTTTATTCTTAAGTATATATTTTTTCTTTTAAAACATGCACAGTGTGTTAGGTTTGTATGAAGAAGAGCCTGTAATGTCTTATCTCTAATTTGAAACTTGAAGAAAGATCTTTCTTCTGTTGTGCTTTGCATAGTTGAATGGTTCTTTTAAAAAAATAAATGGTTCTTTTAAAAGAGTGTTTTTTTTAAAAAAATAATTAATGTGCAAGGTTTGCAGTAGCCTGTTTAAATACAATGACATTCTTCTGTCTAACAGAAAATCCTAGTAAAATAAGGTTACCCTTTTTTATGAGTGCTCATTCTTGGAAAGTTTGTTTTCCTTTTCTCAGAGTATTTGGCTTTTGTAATGTTCTGTCTTCAAGAGCATTTTCCCATATTCCAAGGTTTATTTAAATTACTGCTCAGAATGTTTGATTTATTGAGAAAAGTGAGATATGCAGATTAACTTGATTTTATAGCAGAATGTTTGGTTTATAGCATTTATTCAAGATTCATAGCGTCACTTCTAGTAGAAGAATATAGTTTCTGTAAATCTGTGGCAAAAGCATGGGAGGTTTGCAGAAGCCCTTAACCTCTTGAACTTTCCCATGTCATCCTATGAACTCTGAATCTATGGCGCTGCTCAAATCAGGAAATGTTTAAAAATGAAAAGCCAAAACCCTAGGCTGCTAGATTTTGTATACAGAACATCTGGGGCTTTTGCAGTTTAACAATCATCCTAATCCTGGTAACATCAGCAGGCTATTGTAAACACTCATTAATTTATATAAAGTAGCATATGATTTCAATAGTTTGTTTTCTTTTTATTTCAGCTTTATGACAAAATAAACACAAAATCTTCACCACAAATCAGGAATCCTCCAAGTGATGCTGTACAGAGAGCCAAAGAGGTAATGGCTTTAAAGTATGGTTTTTTCTACTTTGAAAGGTTGATTGTATTTAAACTGTAACTTACTTTTCTTCATTAAGATGTGTATTCTGGCTCATTATCTGAATTATTTCTGGAATATTACCATTGCTTACCCAAGTTACATAAACAACTTGCATAAACTTGCAGAATTCCTTTATCTGTGTAAGGATTATGAATATTACTCAGTTTAATCATTTAACCTTTTCAACTGTAGTGATGTTAAAAGGAACATTCCTGCTGGGTAATTGCAGAATCTTTCATGTTCAGGATATTTATCTGCACCAGAAATCTGATGTTTATAAAATTTAGTCACAAAAAGAAATGTTTTGAGGTGTCAGCTTTTTAAATTGAAAAAAACCCAAGTTTATCATAGATAAGTCTAAGAAGAGCAGACTTGGAAATGCAGTGAATGTGGCCCACTAAAACCAAAGATAGACACAGATGTTCTTAATTCTTGTACCTTGCAAATAGTATGTTATTTGCTTATTTATGGCAAGTAGTAAAAAACCCAAACCCATATTGCATTATGTATTATCAGTAAAAATTCATGCAGTTGTTAGGGATTATGTCATATGAAAACTATTCATTGTGCTATTAAAGGAGGAAGACTTTAAAACTCTATGTAATAACTAAAGTCACACTGATAGATGCCCACAAGTCCTGTTCTGCAAAATTTGCTGTCAGTTTATCCTGGGGGTGCTTCCAGAAGCAAAATACTCTGTTTTCATTTTCCAAATAGCTGCATGTGAAAAATAAGGTGTAATAATCAGGTTGCAGGCAAATGAGTTAAAACTTCTTTACTCCTCCTTCCCCAGTGATAAAGGGACTCAGATTTTATAAAATCTGGAGCTTGGAGGTGGGGTAGCAGATGGCCCATTTAGACTTGGTGTCATTAACAATTGATTTTGGAGTGTTTTTAATTCTGCTTTAATAAATTGAGACCATGTAAGGAAGCACAACTGGCGGAGGTCTTGTGTGTCACCCGTTTGCACTCCATTCCTGTCCCCATGTATTGAGCTGTTGGAGGAATGCTGTCAATTGAAAAAACAAAAATCCTTCAAATTTCTGCTTTAATCTCTTTCAGAGAGAACATTGGAACCAGGTATTTTATTCTCTTGGGGCAGCTGGGTAGGGGCACATTCTCTTAAACCCTTCCCTGTGTCAGCAATGTTGGTGTGTATAATCATTGGGGGATATTCTGACTGAGCAGTGAGGGGTTTAGTTTCTTCAGCAGCTTTAAAAGAAAGTTACTATGGGACATTTCTGCTGCTTATTTTGCAGGTATTGGAAGAAATTTCATGTTACCCAGAGAACAATGATGCAAAGGAGCTAAAGCGTATTTTAACACAACCTCATTTCATGGTAAGCAAATCCTAGTCTTGTTTGGGTTTTTTTTTCCTATTTTTTAAAATATTCTTTATGTTAGAAAACTTCAGTAAATTCTCAAAATCTGCAAGGGATGGAACTTCATACAATACATCTGTTAATAAGTATTTCTAACCTGCTGCTCTGGCAAAAGAATTGGCAAAAGAATCAGTATTGGTCCTCATTACTGTGTAATTATGGAGCAGTTTCATTGTGTTTTTGGAGGTCTGTGTTGTACATGGAAAGAATGAATCCTTTTGAATGTCCATAGATAGAGCTGGGATCCTCCTTTTTCTTTTTCCAAAGGTCTTCTTAGGATAAAGATGTGTGAATTCATTGCAAAATAAGTGTTCATTTAATATTATTTTACAACAAATCAGTAGTTTGTACAGTCTGTTGAGTTTGTGTTACATATCAGCACTTACTGTGTCTGTTTCCCAAATCTGATTTGAAGGCAATAATTGTCCTAAATTCAGGGATGTTACTGCTTTGTAACTTGGTTCAAGTTGCTGAATTCTACTAATTTGAAGGATTGCTTTTGTTTATGCTGTAAGTGAAGTTCATAAATTGATAAGTAAACATGTTTGCTTAAATCTGCTATACACTATTGTCAGCTTAAAATCAAGAATTTGACTTCCCCTATTCAACTTCATTTGGAATCTAACAGGTTCATTTTATTTACTTTTTTGTGTGTGTAATTAGCCCACAGTATTACTAAAACATGAAGCACTGTTGAGAAAGAGCATTTTTTAAGTATAAATTATTTTCAGAGTAGGCATCAACAAAAGTGATTTTTGTTGATTTCTATTGTGGCATATAGAAATTTCATATATCAAATCAAGTGACAGGAAAATTGTGTTGAAAATCCTCTTTTTTAGGTATCTCTGTTCCCTGATATGCTCACAAATCTAAAACCATTTGTCAGAGTTCTTTTGCTGCAAATCTATGAAAAGTATTTTTTCATTAGGAATAAGCTGCAATTCCATAACAAGTACTTTTGATGAGGAGTAATTTCAGCAAGTGAATCTGTGATATCCCAGGATAAATTGCCAGTTGCTGAAGTCCCATTATCCCTTTTCCTCATCTTTCATCCTCTCCCTTGTAGTTCTGGCTTTCATCTAGAACTGCACTTTAATGTTGCCCTCAGCTGAACTAGTAGAAAATTACTCCAAAAAAAAAAATCCCTAACTAACCATTTAGCAAAAAGAGTTTAGGATAACAGGGATGCTGCCAGAGCCAGAATGAGCAGGGGAACAGAAACAGTTTGTGTTAGGGAGGATGTAAAGCAGCAATTAAGGCAGCATTAGTTGGTGGGATCCACACCTGCAGATCCCACAGTCTCCAGATGCCAAAGGGACAACTCCATCCTCTCCATCATTCCCACTCCTGCTCCCAGATGCACCTCTATGGGTTGCAGACTTTAATAAAATTATTTTTACATTTGTTGCATTCTGCTAAACTTTCCTTCAGAGCAAAAGCCTTTATAAGGAAACTACTAGGAAAAGGAATAATTATAAGTATATAAACTAGGAATAATTATAATGGAATAATTATAAAATAAAGGAATAATTATAATAATATAAACCAATATTGTTAACCCACACTCCATGTGTTTGCCAGGTGTTGTACAGAGCAATATTCTGGTTATTAATTCACATTAATTCAGTAATCAATTAGGTGTAATAAGTAGGAGTGTGCATTAACACTCCTACTTATATACTATACTATAATGTACCATTTTAGTTGGTTTTTTTACCTAATGTATATCCCTAATCAGAAGAAAAAAGCGTATAACCTGTCTTACTTGCTTAACCAATGTTAGTGGGTTAAACTGTGTGCAGGCCTTCACAGAACCAAAGCCAATGTGTTTGTAACAGATCTTAGGATGTTCTGTTCTAATTTTCTTTTGCCCTCATGTGCCTTATGGCTGCAGAAATAAATTATCAATTTATTCTGTGCATGTTTGACATTATAATTTAAAGAAATGTTTGTAAATTTTGCATGAAGGCCTTTCAGTAGATAATTAGTTTAAGAATTCTAAAAGCATTGTAATTCTAAAAGCATTGTCAAGTACCTCATTTGCTATGTATGTACACATTTCAAAGAACTTTTATTCCATTTCCCGACTTTCAGTAGTTTTTCAAATATGCCAGTTTCATGTGTAAAAGATTCTATTATTTAAGTTTAGTATGTTGTAACAGTTGAAATATTTGCTAGGAGACTTTTGCTTAATGACATATTGAAGTTTTATCCATCATCATTTGCCTACCTGTGCTGTTCTCTGCAGTGATCCTGCAGTACAGCAGAAAGCAGTTAAACTAATTTTTAGCAGGATTATCATGTCCTGCAAAAGAAAAACAGACAGGAAAAAAAACACATTATCAAAATTAGCAGAAATGCCTAAAAACAGGCATCTCTAAGTAAGGTTCAATGGGAATCTTTTTATTAAATGTTTTTAATATTAATTTGAGGTTGCTGTACTTTAATGTATTTCTGAAGTAGTGTTCATTTTTGTGAATATATTCAGAAATCATTTTGTATAATTACGGACCTTTAAAAATGCTGGAAGTGCCATCATTTAACCTTCTACAAGGTGAATATTATTGCTAAAAATAATATAAAGCAGGGCAAATATTTGATGTGATAAAAATGTAAGCACCTGGATTACATAAGAAATGTAATATTAAAGTGTGGAGAGTGTAACAGATACAGACACGGGCACTGAAGCACCTCCAAGGTCATTGTGTCCAACCATTAACCTGCATTGGAGTACCCACACATTAATGGACACACAAATAAATCAAATTTTAATTAAATATTGTTAAAGTTGTTTAACTTACATGGTCGAGATCTCTAATATAAAATGTTGATTCAGTAGAGCAGACTAATGCAGAGGAATTATTTTGAGTTTGAGCTTAGTGGCTGACAAAATAAGATGAGAAATAGAAAATGCAGATACAGGTTAATATTTAACTAATAGTATGTATGTAAGTGGGCTTGAAACACTGAGAAAATGGGAGGGAATATGGGCAAAGCATTGTTAGTTTAGGGAATTTTGTTCCATCATTATAGTGCTGACTTCCCAAATATAGTTTCAAATCAATTATAGAAATGAGAACATAAAGTGTTTAAGAAATTACCTTTTATCACACAGTACACTTTAGAAGTGTCCTGAAGTAGCTAATGAAAGCTAATGAAGCAGTATTTTAGCAGTTTGCTGGTTTGCACTCTTAATTTTTGTGAAGCATTTTGAACTTGGTGGTTGTGCTGGGACCAAGTTCTAGGGGGCGGGGGGACTGTGGAAGCAATTATTGTAGCAAACAACAAAAACCAGTATTTACTTCATTCAGTTGGTATTGATCTACAGTCTGCCTTTATTAGAGTGAGATATCATGGGATCTGAGTAGCTTTCCATTTTACTAGAGTAATTATTATAGAGTGGTTTGCACGGAAAGGGAGATTCCTGATTCTCTGTCTGTGCACGTGAGGATGGATTCACTCTCACCCTGCAGGTGTCGAGAGGATGAGGGGAAGGGAGACAGCATCATTCTCATTGAAGTCCCTACAGTGAAAATCACATTAACTCTGGCAGGCTTTAGAGTCTCAGTGTGTGTAGGCATTTGCAGTCTGGAAGTTTATCTTAGACTCCTTTAAGGGAAAAGTTCTTCAGTAGGAAATGGGGCACAAATATCTTGGATCTCCTTGAAAATATTCAAAGAAAACCCTTACAAGGAACGAGCAAGGGACATGGGAGATGATGGAAACGTGACATTTTGTTGCTGTGCTATCCTGCAGGCCTTACTTCAAACCCATGATGTAGTGGCACATGAAGTTTACAGTGACGAAGCGCTGCGGGTGACGCCTCCTCCCACCTCGCCCTACCTGAACGGGGACTCCCCCGAGAGCGCCAACGGCGACATGGACATGGAGAACGTCACGCGCGTCCGCCTGGTGCAGTTCCAGAAGAACACAGACGAGCCCATGGTAGGGGGGAACCTCCCTATTTCCCTCTGTGCTGGTAGAGACCAGGGTTGTGACGATTTTAGTGTCATTTCCTCACTTTGAGGTGGAGTTGTCAATTAACTGGAATAGATATTTATCCTCCTTGAAAGGCTTTGTGTGCACTCACACTGCTGCTGTGCCACCAGGGCTGAGTTTGTTTAAAAGCTACAACAAATTAGTCCTAAAACCCAACTGGAGCCTTCAGTATAAAACCCAACTGAGCATTCAGTATAAAATCACATTTTTAACATACCAGAATCCTTACATACTCATATGTTGAAGTATTGCATCTTCCCTTATAAATAGTGTCTGGTCTTATTGCTCATCTTGAAGTGAGTGACAAAGATTTTATTTTAATCTTAAAATTTATACCCTGCCTTTAAGCTTTCAGGAAACGTGACTACTCTTAACCACTCAAGAATCACAGTGCTTAATGTTTTATTTTAAAAGTGTAAACATTCCTTTTTTTCTAGGGAATCACTTTAAAAATGAATGAGCTGAACCACTGCATCGTGGCAAGAATTATGCACGGAGGAATGATTCACCGGCAAGGTAATCATATCTTATGAAGAGCTTTGTCTTCAAACACAGTTATTTTAGATCCTTTTGTACAAACTGTGTACATTCTCCTGATTTTGATTGCTACTATTCCATAGCAGTGTCTCTCTGTGCCTGCATGGACTCCTGCTATCTGCTTTAGTTACCTTGCAGTTGCAGATGTCTGCCGGTGTTTTGAGGTGAGGGCCCACTGTGTTTCATTTAAGTCTTAATTAGAATAATTGCTACCCTATTACTGAGTATAGCTCAGTAAGAGATGGAAACACCAATAATTTTGGAGCTGTATTTATTTAATCCTCTGTTAAAAAAAAAAAAACTTAGACAAGTAGCAGTACTTTCTCTTGCCAAAATGAAAGAGCTTTGGCCGCACAGTACTTGAGGATCTTTATATTTTTGGTGTTGAGAATCACAAAAATGCAGTTTGAAATAAAAATATTACTTGTGCCTAGATTCTAAATCTTTATTTTCAGTTTTCACTGAAATGAAAACTGTTTGTTTTCTGCAAACATGCTTTTTTTTCTCATCCACAGTCTTCTCCTTTTTGTCATTTTGTGTGTTCAGATCAGATGTCCAGAAGTAACTGGGTTTTGTCCTGCTTTAAACAGATGAACTTCCCTACTAGGTTGTTGACTGCAAGTTTGGATTGCAGCCATGGAAGGGTTACTTCAGTTTTTTCAGTCTGCCATCTTTTTCTTGTGATGAAAACAAAAATTTTCTTAATTTTTCAGTCAAGAGTTCTCTCTAGCCTACTGTTCTGTTTGAAAGGGAGCTCAGAACAGGTAATTGGGAAGACAAAACATATTCACTTTGTCTCACTGATATGGTAAAATCTGTCAGGAAGCAGGAAAGGCAAAAGTTTTAATACAAACAAAGATGCAATTCAGAGAGAATTCTATGTCTTTGGAGGACCTTCTGAATTGAAATTTATTTTGCTTCTGAAAGTGAGTTTTAAAAGAAGATTGCTCTAAGATTCACCGAAGCAAGGTTTTCTTCCACCTGTGCTTAGGTAGTGGTGATGCTCTGCACAGTATTGCTTCACATGACTGTGTTCCATAATGGGGCTAATAAAACTTTTAAAAGCTGCTAAAACTGGGTAAAATATCCAACTGTGCCCATTACAACTCTTGTTTTTAATTATACAGTATCTTTTATTTCTAAAGATTTGGGAAATTTAACTTAATCTCTATGTGCTTCATCTAACTAAGGTAGTGCTTCTGCGCTTGAAATTGAGCTTTACTTCAGTGTTTCTTTAGTATGGTCATCTATTTTTTTAATGCTTCTAATTCTGTTAGTGCTCTAGATGCCTCTTAGATTCACTGCTTCATTCAGCATAACCTGTATTTAAAATATTTTTACTGAATAGAACAACACAAGTGTAATATGACAGTGATCTCAAGCACCATCTTTGAATCCTGTTGGTAGGGCCTGTGTCTTGAATTGGTTTTGGGGAGTGTTGGGTCATTTTTTCTCTGCTGTCTCTTTTTGCGGTATGGAAAACTGCCAGGTAATATCAGCAGTGTCTGGATAATAAGATTGCTGTGAGGGTTACAGGAACTGTATAATTTCAGGTCCAGCAATATTAAACACAAACTGTGCAGTTCCCAGTCACAAAATTGTAGCTGCTGTGAAGTTGCCTTCTGTCTCTAGGCCAGCTCTGCCTAGTCCTGATGATTGAAATTGTTCTTATTCCAAAGGTGGCAGAGTTGAAATGGGAAGAAAAGCTTTTAAAGACTCCATCTACTCACACCTTCCAGAGAATTCAGTGGAAATGAAACACCAGTCTCAGTCATTAAAAATTGTCTGTTTGTTGTTGACATGTCTGCCAAATGGCCATTCTTTATTCCCAGTTTTTATGTATACTTCTCCTTACAGTCATGAACATAACAATATTCACTTCTGTCAGAGTGACAGAAATGGGAAATGATGCAGAAAAGGGGATTTTATTTGATACAGGGATGTTACTGAATCTGATTCTCAGTCTAATATGTAATTCCATCAGTTTTATGTTTTGAATAGTATCAGAGAATCTTTATGCTATTCCAGGCCATATGGTGGTTTTGATTCAATATTATTATTTAATAACAAAAACATGTTTTTCCTATTTACTGAGGAGATGCCTGGGCATCTCTTGCTTTGTATTCACTGCACTCTGAAAGACAGATTTATAGCTAATACAAAGTCCTTTTCTGAATCTAGCAAAAAAATTATTTTAATGTTGTTTTCTGTTTATGCCTTTGTATGAATAACAGTGCTGTGTTAGAATTATTTCAGTTTGTAGCAACTGAGGTGATTGTGTGTTTGTTAACTCTGCAGGTACGCTACATGTAGGAGATGAAATCAGAGAAATAAATGGAATCAGTGTGGCAAATCAAACTGTAGAGCAACTGCAAAAAATGCTTGTGAGTGCCTGAAGTCTTCTTCATATCCTCTATAAAAATGCTTGTCTTATTTAGTCAAAATTTTTGTGTAACTGTGTTCTAACTTCCCCTTTCTCTAGTGTTTTTGATAGGCTACATGTCCATGCAACAAAAAGTTCTTTCAGTTTATTACAGTTGAGCTCACAGTTAAAACTTTAAAAAACATTTCCTTGAGCTCAGACAATCTGGCTTTTCCCAGGAAAACTCCACCTTTGTCCTTGCTAGTAGAGTCTGTTTGATATTTCCATAACACTTGTTAATTTTCCTGTGTGCAACACTAACCTTGACATCTTGGATGGTATCACTAATCCTAGACAAGCTTCAAGGGAAATAGAATTTTTTTGGGGGTTACGGTAAGCCAGCCAAAGAGAGAAAGGGGAGAAACTCTGAGATCTCTTGAAGTGATCTGCTCAGATTTCTCTCCAGATCAAGTCCTGCAGTTGTCAGCCACATGGTATTCATGAGTATTCAGATTGCCATTTAAGAAAATATGTTGTCACAATCTGCTGCTATTCTGGAGTTACTACTTGTTATAAATATTCTTATACAATAGTAAATGCAAAGTAGCAGACCCCATGTCTTGTTTTGATGAAAGACTGTTTTTGAAATTCCTACCTTCAGGAAAATGCAGCTTTCTAGAAACTGAAAACAGTTTTGCTGTTTAACATGTATGATGAAAGGGAAGAACATGCCACTTTGGCAGAAAAGACTGTAGATAATAACAATATAGCTACAAAGAAAAGGTTAACATGGAAGAAACCTACACATCTCTTGAATCTCTTACATAAAAATAAAATTCTGGATTGTAGGCATTCAAAACCTGGTCAGGTGAACAAACTGGTAATGCATGTTCATCCTTTAGATTAATGAGGACAATATGAATGTTTGTTCATAGGTGATACAACAACTCATCCATAGCAATATAGCTTTTCATACTTGGACTATGATGTTTTCCTTTCTAGCATTAACAATTTGGAGATTTTCTCTTCAGTGTTAGTCTCAAAGTGCTTTTTTTTCCACAGAGGGAAATGCGTGGAAGTATTACCTTCAAGATTGTGCCAAGTTATCGCACGCAGTCTTCATCCTGTGAGGTAATGAATTTAATGAGCCATCCCCTTTCTTCCTCAGTCCTGTAACTAACTGCCTGCTGATGGCTGAATGTTCCTGCTTTCTGGGAAATTGTTTCTGCCTGTCCTGTTAGATCGCACACCAATTTTACAACAAAGATAACGGAACACGAGTAGGTCCCACCTACCTACTCAGCCCTGCCTTCATATTCATCTCATCAGCACCTTAACTAACTCTTTACAGCCTATTAAAGAAAAAAAAATTAGGAAAGGGGATCCTCAACTTATGCATTTAGGAAGCCCCTTTAAAATATGACCATTTGAACTCATACTTCCGTAAGTCTGTTAAAGTTCCTAAGCTGAGGAATGATCCTCCTCTTTTATAGGCTTTAAACATTATATTGCTGCTTTGGGCTGTTAAGGGTTAATTGAAAAAACCTGTTTCTGTATAACCCTGTTGAGGTAAATTTGTGATGGTCGTGTGTAACAGTTACATGTGGCTTAATATTATGTTTCCATGAAAAAAATGGTCTGTGTCACTACAGAAGAAAAACAGATTCCGAGTTGTTGCTGAACTAGAAACTTGGTATTACAGCTTTTGCACAGCAACGTTTAATTCCCTTCTGCTCACAAAGTTAGATTCCAGATTGCAACTGAAGGGGATTAAATTGTATGAAATGGCTACTTGAGCTCCCTGTTCAGTGTGAGCACACAGATGGCATTTGCAGCGTGTGGATGGTGCCAATCTCAGCCACGCGCTTTGCTGCGCACACAGCTCCCGAATTAGAACTCCCCAAGTGAAGTCACAACCCCTGCTGAAGTCAAGCACCTTATCTTAATTAGAGCTGTGATTTCACCCTAATTGTTCTTATGTCTCAGCAGATGCTAGAATACGCAGAAACTGCTATTGTGGTTGTCAGAACAATCTGTTTTGCAAGGAAAAAAATTACTGCTTTTTGGTTGCCTTCGGTTCTTCTAGTAGAATTCAACAAAAACTAAAAGGTTGTAGAGGTAGAAGGTTTGACAGATTTTCACCTCTGAGGCCAATTTTCCTAAAGTAAATGTGAAACCAAAAGTTTTTCATGAAATGCAAAGGCTTTTTAAAAATTGCAGCACGCTGACAAATTCATGTATTGACTTCTGTGCTGCAAAGAGGACTAATACTAAAAGATACCTCACTTCCCAATATTGAAATACAGAAACTGGTGAAACTGCAGACTTGCTGAGAAGATGATTATTTGGAAAGACTCAGCATACAGCTTTAAATTAATACTATTAGTTGTCATTTTAGTAATAGCAGATAATCTCTTTTCTTTAGTTTTGTGTCTTCAGGCTTTTCATGACTATTTCACAGAAGAATGGAAAATATACTCTTACCTTTCTTTGGAAAAAAATGGTTAAACTAGAAATGTGTGATCAAAGAGAAAAAGAAATCATGTCTAATTATCCCACTTTGTAGCATTTAGCATTCATTAAGTCAGAGATGGATGAGTCCTTTCCACCTGCTCAGCCACACTGAGGCTTTGGCTTGATTTTCATCAGTTACAGGTGTACACAAAAACCCCAGTGTTCTTAAATCATCCTGGTAAAGCATCACTAGTCCTTTGCCATAAAGAGAATTTTTTTTCACAGAATTTTTCAAGAAGGTGATTCAGATGATGAATCAATCCTTAACTATTGAAAAAGGCTAAAAATCAGTGTTGACTGACAGTACTAACACAGAAATCTTGCTTCTCATGTCGTCCAGCAGGATAAATAGAGAGATATTGGGTCTTCACTAATATAATCTTCCTAGTTAAGGTATTTTTTGGCAACAGTTCAGTCTATATTTGGTTCCCTCCTCCTTCAGTCATGGACTGGTGCTCATGTAGTGTAGTTTTATGAGAAGAGGAATATGAAACAGAATTGAGGACTGGGGGTTTTGAGGCTCCTACCAGGATCACATAATTGGACTGCAAAACATCTTGTTAATCTTGAATAAGAAAAAACTGCATATTAGTAGAATCAGAGATGATGTGCTTTTGTTTACTGTCTTAGGCCTTTACAAAGGTATGAGGGCATTGAATGTTTGTTTTTTAATAACTGGGATTGGAATTTCACTTGCCATATTTGTCTTCTTTTATAGTCATTTAAAATAAGTGCTATTTTCTAAATATTGAGCCATTTCTGCATATATATAGGGAAGTCTTTTCCCTACACTATGTAAGCCAGGGTCACTAGGCAGTTTGCAAAATCTCAGCTGAATAACTTCAGGTTTTTTAGGCATTTGTGGCTTTTCCTGCACTCATGCCTTCCATTCAGTTAACAGACCTTCTATTTCATGGAGCAGACCTTGCTTGAAGATATAATAATTTTGAATTCCCTTGTGTGCAAATTGGATCAGCTGATGTGTGAGGTGACCTGTTTAGTCACTGGCATGGCAAATGACCTGATTTAACACACAAACTTAGATAATAAGGGGCCAGGGTGTTGTTTTCTTTATCAGATACCAAGAAAATTGCAGATTTACATAAACATGAACTGAAGTAACTGTTGCAACACATCCTTCTTATGGCTGATGGCTATGTACACTATTTATATGTTTCAGTTTTATCCCAATGATTTAGCATTTTCCTCTGGCTACATTTGCATTTTTGCTTTGCACTGACACAACACCCAGAGTGACTTTTTATAGTGTCAGATATGTCAGAATGGTAAGAGAAGTACTTTTTTTTCTCTTTTTTTTTTTCTTGAAACTAAAAAAATCCTTATAAACATTCTTTATGTTTCAGATTCCCTTTGTGAAACTCTTAAATTGTTTCATTAAGAAGAAAAGCCTTTATACAGGGAGTTTTTTAAAAGCCTGTTGATAATCACCAGGGATTTTTTCTTTTATCTTCCATGATTTCCATTAGTGCTCAAATATCAGGAGTTTTTATTGTCTTAAACCTTTTTAAAATTTGTATTAAAGATACTGACAGATGTGTTCCTTGAGCAAGACAGAAATGTAAAAGTATTTCCAGAATTTTGGAAATTCTGTCTGTTTTTATTGGAGGTTTTGGTTTTATTGGCTTTCTTGTTTGAGTTTCTTTTTTTAAATCTGGCAACAATGTCATTGCTCCACCTGTTTTTGTCAGTATCTAATTTGATCAGGTCATATTTATAGACATCATATAGGTTTGCATCTCAAATACTTTAGTTTATCATCAAAAACTACACCTCAAAATAGGGAATCAGGAGGAAGCTGGTTTGCCATTATTTGGAAATAATTGTGGTTGTTTCCTCTAAGGCTCTGGCTCTGTGGCTCTTCAGCTGAATAGTGAGGACCCCAAAGGTTTCTGTGGTTTTTGTCTTGGGGCTGGAGAAGGCTGGGAAGTCCAGACAGTTGAGTTTACTAAAATATATTATAATAATCTTTCTACATTTCTCAGAATCATTGGATCCTCCAATTGTTTTTCTGCCCCTGTTCCCAGGATAAGAAAGGCTTCTGCTGATTTACTGGAGAAACAAACTCACAACCCAAACTGAATTTTTCCAGGCCAGTCCTAAGCAGTCTTGTTATTCTACAAGGATCTCTGTGCTCCTTGTTTTGGCTCATTAGATTGTCCATAATACAGTTTTTCTCCTAGCTTTAGAGTCTGGTATTTTTTGAAAGAACTCCTGTCCCTAGAAAATTAAGAATCTAAATGTCTTTGAAATGTTGACAGAACAGCCTAATTATGTAAAAGTCATATATAAAAAAATGTCTCTTGACTAACTTGTTAGATTATTTCTGACAGTACTGAAATCACCAGTAGCACTGAAAATGTATATTTTCCTCAGTGTGTTATGATGAACATTTGCTTTGAATAATATGCTGTCTTGTGTTGGGAATTGTTGGAGGAATACAAATCAAAACATTCTCAAACCAAGAAAATTTCCTTCAAAGGCAAAATCCTTCAAGACAGTCCAGAAATAGTGGCATTCTCTAAACTTGTTTTTCTCCACATGATTTGGGTGCTTGCATCAGTTTCCAAAGCTTTCCCTTGCTCTCTTGCTAAACCATCACTGACAACAGATCATAACAAACCATATTTTAAAAAAAGTTAAAATTTATTTTTCACCTCTTGAAAGTGAGAAAATAGCAGCAACAGAATTGCAGAGCAAGCATATAATCTCTTTATAAAGCAAGGGAGTTACTGCCTTTTTGAAAAAGTTCTTATGGTTACAATTTCATAAAGTTGATGCTGATAATCCATACACAAAAGAAAAAAAAGGAATATTGATTCCTTTAGGCTTTTCCCTTTTTTTTTTTTTTTGCATTTTTTACATTTTTAAATATTTTTTCAGTAATGAATGGTTTATTTACTCTCATTTGAATATTTTAAACTTGTGCTGGAGTGATTTTGTAATTAGAATTAGGGCTGATTTCCCCCAGTCCCTTACACATTGCAAATACTTGAGGAAGGGAAGTTTTGTTCTTATGTATGTGGCATTAATCCCTGATTAGTGTTGCATGAACAGTTTAGCACCAGCCTTTTAATTATTCACAAAATAATGGTACTGATAAAATATGACAGGGTTAACTTTGTTTCCTTAGAAAACTATTTTAGCCCTTTTTCTCTGCTGTCCTTGATGTTACACAAAATGACCAGACATTCCTAAGCTGACTTTTGACATGGAATATTATAATCCAGAATTCCTGTGAGGGTAAAAGGGATTTTTTTTAACAGTATATGAATGGATTATTTTATTTTCAGAAGAGATGACTCAATTATCTGACCTCATGGAATTAAGCACTGTGCAGTCAAAATGGCATGTGAAAAAGATGGCTCTGAAAAACCCACCAGAATTTCCTGTTATCCTTCCTGTAGAATTTCCCAGTGTGCTCCCTGTGTCTGCTGTCTCTGCACTGAGGGGTAGGGCCACACTGGTAGTCTGGGTCAAGGGAATTGGCTTTTTTCAAGTGCTGTATTTTGGCAAGGTTTGATACTTTCAAGCCCATAAGAATGTTGGAGGAAAACCCTCATTGCACAGTAGAATGGATGAGAAGGGAGGAGAGAGAATCCAGCTTTCTCCTCAGTGGCTGTGAGGCACTGCAGGGAGATGCATCTTGCTGAGTAGAGACTGACAACCACCACAAAGCTGCAAAAATATTCAGAAACATCTTTAAAACAGGATATGGGCCTCATTCTATTCCAAGTACTGTTCAGGGTATCACTTCCAGGTGCTTTAACCAGGACTGGTGTGTGACTGAGGGCTGGTAGCATTGTCAGCCATGTGAGATCTCTGAAGTCACAGTTATTTATTAAAAAGCTGAAGGCAACATAGAAATAATTATTACCTCAGATAAATCAAAATGTCAAACCTGAATCCTAAGCTGTGGAAAAGCTTTACAGAGTTTGTAGAGTGGAAGCTTTCACAAATGAAGCAGCTAAGCAAATGGTTATAAGGCTGTGGATGTAACTGTTCTTTGAAATATTTCTGTGTTCCTGTGATAGTGTTGTGTTGTTAATGAACCTTGTGTCTTATTTCAGAGAGATTCCCCCTCTACATCCAGACAGTCCCCTGCTAATGGTCATAGCAGCACTAACAATTCTGTTTCGGTAAGATTTCCAGTTCCACACAGAGAAAGTGTGAAAGTTTTGTTGGTGCTCATCTGCCATTACTGTTATACTTATCGTGTGGTCAGTGGAAAATTCTGTCCTGCTGAGAGAACCCAGGTTACTGCATATGTAACTCCCCATTTTCTTTTTTTTTTTTTTTTTTTGTTAGAGGGCTTTTTCCAACATGTTCTTCTCATTAAAAGCCATACAGTGAATTAAATGTTAATAACTGTACTGTGACACTTCAGTCATCCTTAAATCATTGTCAGCACTTTCCTCAAAGCTGAGCAGAGGTTTAAAGTGGAAGCTTTTATTTCCATCCCCAACTTTGGAAGCAGAGTTTGAAGGAAGAGAGAGTAACTGTGCAGTTGGTATCCCAAGACATTTTAGATCCTTTTTTTTTAAGTTTTGTGTTTGAGAGCCCTCTGGAACGTGTACTGGTTTCCGCTATCTGAGTTAAGGAATTGGTGTGCTCTCTGCTGTCGTGGTACGTGCACATACTGTGTGAAACATGAGCCTTGCCTGGATATGGAAAGCAAAAGGAAGTGGCTTTAAACTGCACTACAAACCAAGCTATTACCATCACATCTTTAACACAAAGTACTTCTGTTTTGTATGTATTCAGGTAGAAAGGTGCTGTCGATCTCCTGTTCTTCCCAAAGTACATTGGTGTTAAAATTCGTCTTGTTTCTCATTTGTTGTGTTTGGACCAATGTAGTAACTGCACACAAGTTTCTTCAGTGAGTGCTGTCAATATCATGAGTTCATGGGACCAGCTAAAAACAAACCAAAAAAAAAAAAAAAACCAAAACCAAGTAACTATTTCTTTAACTATTCATAAAAATAGACATAATTTGCCACAAGGTAAAGTGCTTATTAATTAGTAGAATGAAAAATCATTACATGAATGAAAAATTTAGGACATTTTTGTGAATTAAATTAAATTTATAACATGAAAGTAGTTATAATCTTAATTCTCAGCACAACTGATCACATTATACATTTTTAATCATAGGGTTTTTTAACATTTATAATAGCTTCTCTCTTTTGAAAGCAAAACTTGATACTTAAATGGAAAAGGCCTTCACATAAAGAGCCTCTTTCACGTGGTGGTGCTTTTGTGTTGAAGATGCTGAATTATTTATTAAAAAGCACATTCTCTATCTGCTTAAACTTTTTACCTGCTTTCTTCAGCTTGCTGCTAAACAGCCTGGGTTTGATTTTTCTTTAAGAAAAAAGTTATTTCTAAACATGAGTCAATGCTTTATACTTTTGTCTAACTTAACATTTTACTGTAATGTAGAATGAATCACTAACAAACAGTGTTATGTACCCTTAAAAAGTAAAATGAAAATTTCTTCTCCTGGGTTGACTTTATTCTGCAGGACTTGCCATCGACAACACAACCAAAAGGACGACAGGTGAATAGATATCCTCCATGGGAGTTTTTGTACACTTAGCTGCTAGCAAACATCCCTGCTTACCTTTTCCCCACTCATATTCTGTATGTGCTGGACTAAAACATTTAAGCTTGAAAAATGTGTTTCATTTTTTTCATTTTTCTTTTAACTCATTTGTTTGTAGCTAATTTTAAATACTTTTTTTTTTTCATGTGTCCACATGTGTGAGAGTTGTAAATTCACTGAGAATTTAACTGGAGATGTTGATTTAGTTCAGAATGCATTAATAGACTTCCTGTTGTGCAGTGACCTGTTCAGATTTTAATATTAGAGGAAAGATGAATTTTCTATTTTAGCTGGAATGGAGACAAGTAGGGCAGGTGTCTAAAACTCTCCAATATTGTGCTGACAAAGATTGTAAAGCTTGAGTTTATCTGAAACTAATTATTAACATTAACAATGTTTTTCAAAGAAAAACATTAAGGATAGTTTCTGTTAAGGCTTGATAAATCTGAAGATGCTCTCTTAAAATTTCAGTCCTTAGTCCCATTCTCAATAACCTCCATAAACTTTGTTACCTTGATCTGGTGGTTGTGCAAATCAGCACAGACCACAGAAAGATCTTCCCTCTCAGAAAATTCCAAGAAAGCATGTGGGGCTCATCAGAGGATTCCCTCTCTTTCTTTTTGCAATTTTAAGAATTTTTATTCTTTTTCTGCAGCCTCCAAATGAGCAGGTACCATCAAGTGATTTGTGATTGATCTCCAGTAACTGCTCCAGTTATTTATAGTCTTTCCAGAATCTACCTCTGAATTTTTAACTGTGTACTCAGCCTCCTTCTCTGCCAGGAATTTTTATAATAGCTCTTGCAACTCCATTCAAGAAGTCAATCAGCTACATTAACTCTTGTCTTTGAGAACCTTTTTATATTACTGTCTGGTTGAGTTGGCTGGAACTTCTATCACAAGAATGGTTTGCTCTTACTTCACTTCCCATTTTTAAAGCTCTCTATGGTTCTTTCAACTTCCCATTTTCTTTTGAAGCTGCCTGAATGTAAACCTGGAGAGGCTCCATGAAACACTTCCAGACATTTATATTAGATTTTCATTTGCTCATAGGGTTTTTTCCCCAGAAGAAGAAACTTTGTTCAAGGCAATATCAAAATCATGGTGTTTCTCTTACTCACACCATTTATAATTACTTTATTTTTTCAATTTTTACCTGATTTTTCCCATTGAAACAGCATATTTTTCTTGTCATCCTTGAAACCAGTGAGGGCTTGGCTAATGGATATATTTTCATGTGTCAGGAAGTCTGTAATGTTCCATGAGCTGCCAGTATATGGTGGATAATGGCTCAAACTGGAGCAGGGACTTGAAAAGCAGGGAAGTTTCTAGATAGTAAAAATACTACTGATGTTTTTAGACTTGTATGAATAAGCTTCAGGCAAAATAAGGGGTTATCTCAATATTGATTACTTCATGAAAAACAAATTACTAAGTAAACATAATTGGTTTCAAAACATCCTATTTCTCAAGTAATTAAAATAAGTTGGGTTGCGTTTTTAGACTCAATGCACAACAGAGCAAGGGTCAGATTTAATATATTAAAAGTTGAGTTCTGTATTGGTCTTGTCATCTGATGCTCTCACTGCAAACCAATAAAAATACATCAGATACAAGAGAAAAGTGATTAGCCATTTTAGGTTAATTTATTCATCTGTTGAGGTGCAGATTGGATTACTTTTTTAAGTGCTATGAATAGTGCTAACACTGCACAGTTACAGCTATTACTGGACCAGAGTTTGAGCAGAGTTGAAAAGTGATTGTTACAGTTTCTAAGAATGTTACTTTGCAATGTAATTGTTGGGGATTTTTAAATCTAGTCCATTTTCAGTAAGAAAATCAGCATTGAGTGTATACAAGGCTGGCTGAGATGCTGCAGGGTGATGCTGGAAGTTCATGACCTGTAGAAATTGCCCATCTAGGGCATGACACTTAATTTTGGTTTTGGGTTCCCTGGGTGCATAAGGGCTCAAATTAGCAACCAAAACTGGGTATCACTTTTATTTTCATTTTCTGGAGTTGAGAGCTCAGTAACACGCAAGGAAAGGATCAGTATCATCTTTTAAATTGTAAAGTCAGAGTCTGGATTCTTTCTCTTCACATTCTGTAAAGAATAACTTGCTCAAATCATGAGTTTTATTTACACAGGAGCAGACTTTTACTGAAAAACCCATACGGAGAATTCCCACATTCCTCCTGAGTAACTCTGTGATAGGAGCAATACAGGACTTCCAAAAAACAAAAAAATTTTTAATGTCCTAAATCTTAAAAATTCTCATTCTAAATTTCACTAATAAAGCCAAAGTCCTTTATAGCATCCAGTAAAATTTCCTGTCACAGAAAGTTTTAAAACATACCATGAGATTTCAGTTAGAAAATGCATTACAGATTGAGTTGTAAGGTGCTGGCTTGTGTTCTGGGATGATTTGTGGTAGTTAATAACTGTTTGAGGGACTCCATGAGTTTATTACATTTTTGCTGTTCAGGTTCTCTAGAATGTAGAAAACATGAGCTTTTGAAATAACATCATCTGTCTCCATCATTTGCTGGAGTGGGCATTTTCAACTATCACTTATGCTTTGGCACCTTCCTTTTTTATTTCTTTCTTTGCTTGTTGCAACCAATGTGTGTAGCTGCATTCACAGATCAGATTTTCACCTGTTACTCTGAATACCATGGCAGAGATGGTACTGCAGTGTCTCTTATAAACTCTTTTTTTTCTAGATCTATGTAAGAGCACAATTTGAATATGATCCAGCAAAGGATGACCTCATTCCTTGCAAAGAAGCTGGCATCAGATTCCGAGTTGGTGATATTATCCAAATCATTAGCAAAGATGATCATAACTGGTGGCAGGGTAAACTTGAGAACTCCAAAAATGGTACTGCAGGTCTTATTCCTTCTCCTGAACTTCAGGAATGGTATGACTTCAGTTTTCTATAAAAATGAATTTAGTTTGGATTTTATTTCTGCCTTTCATACTTTTCATTGTTGTATAGCCAGCCTTTGAATTATTTTCTCTTTTTCTTCCTTTTTTTTCTCTAAGTCTATATATTGACTCAATTTGTGTGGTATTAATTTTTTTCTCATGTATGCATAGCAGTAAGGGTTACTTGCAATTTCATATGTGTGATTACATTTTAAAAAATACCTTCCTGTGTTAATAAACATTGTGTTTTCTAGTATTCTGTGGGAAATTAGGATTGAAGATGGCTACATGCAAATTGGTTATATAAGAGGGTCAAATTAATTTCTCTTTCAGCTTCTAATCTGGGGTTTCATTAGTACTGTTTACATGCAAGTGCTGCAGGAATAGGGTTTTAGCAAGTTGTCAGGCAAAAAGGTCATTGAGGGAGTTTTAAGGTTTTCTTTCCTTTTCATTTTTCATATGAATGTCAAATGAACATATGAATGTCAAAATGTCAATGAATGTCAAATGACAATGTCAATGACAATGAATGTCAAATTCATGACATATGAATGTCAAAAAGCAGAACAAAATCACGGTGCCAGTGGCAGGTTCAATGAACAGCAGTGGCACTGTACAATGCAGAGCCTTTAAACAACCTCTTGCAGGAGCTGTTTAGAAAAAAAATTTAAATTATCAGCAGAAATTGGGGTGAGTCCTGGGCCTTGGAAGGTGGGGCCGTAACTCAGTAAAGTTTAGATAATTTAGCACAAAATACTTCATACAGGATTTTCTGTTTAAAAGAGCTGGAGTTGTGCACTGCTCCTGGGCTGGATAGAGGAGATTTTGGCAGAAGAGAGACAGACAAGAGGCAGACAAGACCTTTGGTTCCATGTCCTGAGCTCTGTGCTAGCCCTGTGTAAGGGAGACACAGTCCACAGTGCAGCGGGGTCCCTTGCAGAGCTCCACCCTAGAGATCAACTCCAGACAGTCCCCCAGCACAGCACCACTGGCTCTGCAGGAATTTGGACCATGGTGGTCATTCCAGACCTTGTGCTGTTCCCTTCTGATCTGCTGCAGAGTGGTCTGGATTCATTCCAGGAGCTGCTCTTCCTCCTATCCCACTTCATCTGTCAGCTTCCATCATCTACCTCTAAGAAAATATTCTTACATCATAATACCCCTGTATATATATTCTTTAAGGTCATTAAAAATATTTTTACAAATTTTACTGTACTCATGTTCTATAAAAATGTCTTGCTTTTCTAATTCATTCTGTGCAACTCTTTAAAGATCCTTGATTATAACAGAAAATGTTTTTTCTCCGCCTTATGTCAGGCGAGTTGCTTGTATTGCCATGGAGAAGACCAAACAGGAGCAGCAGGCCAGCTGTACTTGGTTTGGAAAGAAAAAAAAGCAGTACAAAGACAAATATTTGGCAAAGCACAATGCAGGTATGAACAGAAAATGCAGGTATCTGTAACAGGTTACATTTTTTGCAGTTTAAGCCTTGCCATTAATTGTTCAGCTGGCAGTATTATATAAATCTAATGAGTTATTTAGGAAAAGATAAGTAAAATTCTAATTATGCCAGCATTACTCTGCTTATTCTTTGCTATTTAAGCATGGAGCTTAGTCAGTGAGAGGCAAGCTGCCACAAAAGCAGTGCATCATAGTATATCCCGATGGAGGCTTAGATTGTTTGGGGTTTATGTGTAAAGCAGCATTAGAAACAAACAGGATATGATTTTGGCAATCTATATAACTGTACTGTGCTCTACAACAGACTGTTCTGTAGCATCCTTGTTAACATGTATTTATAGTTACAGATTACATATGTGAAAACATCATGAAAGAGCATTTTTGTTGAAGTGGCACAGCTGGAAGTGGAATAAGAGCCATTGCACAGTCAGGGTGTTATTTACAGCTACCAAACAGAACCAGCTCTGGAGGTTTATCCTCCTTGCAGTGATTTCTGCCTGAATCCTGAGTTTGGGCTTCTGTTTAGAGTGCTGAAAAAATGAATTGTTTTAGAAAATTTTAGAAGTGTAGAGTAAGAGATCCTTGTCAAGCAAAATTCATTAGTTTTAGTAGTAAAGAACAGACCCTGTCATTTATGAGCTGAATTTGCTTCTTTTCTTCTTTTAATATAAAATACTTAATGTGCTGAAACTGCTTTTCAACACTTTTCTGTTGCTCCTGCTTTGGCAGCACATTTTGTGATGCTTATGTTGTTGTGGTCTCCTGAGAGACTTGCAGAGCTTTTTATTAGAATCAGAACAGATACCTGTCCAAGCAGTGTAATGAAAGTATTCTGTATTACATTCATTTCTAGGGGTTTTTTTTCAGTTGCATTCTTGAGCACACTGATTAAACAATGTAAATCCATATTTTCAGGTATTTCTCTTTCCCTGCACAATGTGTGCAGGATCAGAGCTCATAATGTGTCACTATTACAGAATATGCGTTTCCTTTAAAGCAATTTGGCAGTAAATTCTAAGCCTAAATTCTAAGACAGTAATTGTTGTTTATACTCTTTAAATTCACTCTTGCATTTAAGATGTTCACAGGTGAATATAAAACTATTTGTTACCCTGAAAGCTCTCACAAGCAGAGATTGAAAGCTTTAAGTAGGTTCCTTCCTTTTGCTGCTGTAACACCCTGCTTGTTCTAATGTTTCCCCCTCACTGCAGTAACACTCAACCACATTTTAATAATTACAACAAAAGCTGTTGAGAGTAAACTGGATTTTATGATCCAAAGCCTTTCCCAGTACTGGTATCATCTGCTCCCAGCACACATTCCCACAGCCTTGCTCCCTTCTCTTGTGGCCATGCTGTGAACTGGATCACTAACAACCCAAAAAAACATGGATATTTTTTCTTTAGGGCAGGTCCATTTCTTAATGCGTCTCAGTGCAAATACAGAACTAAAAATGTCTTGTGAATAAGCAGGGCCTGCTGCAAGGGAGTGAGCTAAGGAAAGACATCCAGGAAGGAGGAGGAGCCTGCAGCACTGTAGAGGCAGACCTAGCTCAGATTTTCTATCAGTAAAATTCCTGAAAGGAATGTGGACTTTGCAGTCTTGACTTAGGGGGACACTTCAGAGTAGGTTAATGGCACTTTGATTCACACAGTTCATCTGCCTTCACCAGCAGTGTTATATCTTATCTTTATTTGCTTTATATCAGAGCAGGTGTTTGCCAAAAATTAGAAATACCAACATTAAAAATTATGATAATGACCATAAAAGAAACTGTTCCCTTTAGAATTCAGCTTCCCCTTTCCCCTAAGTCAAAAAGTTAATGCAAGCACAGATTGAAATCAAGATTTCTTGTAGAAGTGTTATTGATCTTAGTGTCCCTGTGGTACAGAAGGTAATGCCAGTAATATTCCAGGGTATTACCCCAAATATAGAATATTCAATATATGAATATTATGGATTGCTTTGGTGCTCATGTGAGTTCAGGTTTAACTGAGGTGGCACTGAATTCACATTCTCTGAAGTGCTCTGTCACATCCAGGATTTTTGGTCAGAAATATGGCAGCACTGGCCCTTGCAGCCTTTCAGTGCTTCTGTTTCAGAATAAAAACCAGATCTTTTCTTCTGCTGGATCCAAAGCAAGTATAGTCATTGTCAAAATGTTGCTCTTACAGGAAAGTAGAATTTGTTTCCCTTTTATCCAAGTATAAAATTAAATAAATTGATCAGCAGTGTGTAATTTATTTGGGCTTGTGTGTTATTTTTCTCTTAGGGGTGAGACTGCTCTGGGGTGCTGAGAAATGACCCAGTAAAATAATTCATAGTCAACTCAGATTTGTGATGATTTGAGAGCTGGTGTGGCATATTGGGATATTACTGGAAGTAGACATGAGATTATTCTGCAAATCAGACATAGTTTATGAAGTAAACAGGAGATTATTTCAGTTACTTTTTAGAATTAGAAGCAAATACATTTTCCTTTGCAAGAAAAATGTAATCCTGTTGTTCTTTCCTCCATGCTTCATATTAGAGTATCAGGCAATTTCATGATCATATGTTTTATCAGCACAAAGTCAGTTTTAAACCAAAGTCCACAGAAAAAATGAAATATGTCTTCCATTATTAGATTCACTGACATTTTTATAAATGCTCTAGAGATATGCTGCAGTGATATCCAGATACATTTTTCATTTATTTTGCTGAAAAGTTATTGCAGGGCTTCAGAAAAGAGGAGAACATACCAGAACTATGCTCCATATTATGCATAATGTAGAAAATTGCCAAGCTTTTATAAAATATGTTTATCATTTTTTAATGTGATTTATTTGCCTTGTGTTTAGACTATTGCATGGTAAAGTTTATTTTGTGCATATACTTTTTATTTTACTAATATATTACAAGCCATATCTCAATGACCCCTGTACATTTTTCATGCTGTCTTACTCCCAATGGCCTCTGTGCATGTAAGTAACCTGTCAAGTGACAATGCCTCTTTATTTGCTTCTTACTGTTTCCTTTCAAGAACTCCTTTTCTTTTATCAGCTAGTAACACAGAAGCATTGAAGTTCAGTCTTTAAGTGTGCCCTGTATTCCTCCTATCTTTGTATATTAAGAAATGAATAATTTTTCTTTTGCATTTGAGAACCCCACAGTCATTAGTTAAATCCATGTAGACTGAGACACATTTTCTCCATGCTACTTCTTTGTGATGAAGGCATTAATATGTGTCATTTCTGGTGTTTGTTCCTGTTGTTTGTATCTAACATAACATGGCTTTGTTCAAGAAGAAAATAAAGGATTGATTTCTTTTCCATTATTATTTTTCAATGGAAAAAGACACTTGCAGGCTTAGGTGGTTAGCATGGTAAAGCTGTTTAGTGTGTTGTAGATTATTATTATGACATGAATTATTGATTTGTTTAAATAATGTTAAGTTGCAAAAAGGACGAGTAATAATTCCATTGTGGAATGAAAGAAAGATATGACTAAATTCTTGCTTGTAATATTTGGGGAAAGGTTGAAAGAGATTCTTCTTTAGGATGAAATTCAAAATGCTTCAAATGGACTAGGAAGTTTTCATATCTGTATCTTTTCAAGGCTTTAAAGAGTTGTGTGTGTCAATTGGCTGATTTGTAGCTTCATGAAATTGAAGCCATTGGACTCTATCAGGTGAAAAGACTTCCATCAAATTGAAAAACTGAGAGATACCCACACTCATCCTAAAACATGGATTGGATATAGCTGAGGTGGATACACCACTTAAGCCTTGGAAACACTCAGAGAGAGATTCCACAGTTTGGATGGAGTCTCTCCTGCCTCCTTTTCATAGCGTGCAGAAATACAGAACTGAAAACTCTTGTTCATTATTCTGCTCCACATTTGCTGGTTGCTGCAATCTTTACAAATATAAAAAACTGCCTCCTGCCTGCTTCTGTCATTAGAATTCAGCAGGAGTTACCAGAGGTGATGTGTTGCTGGGTACAGGAGGAATAAGCTGTTATTAATGAACAAAACTTGATTTGTCAACCACTATATTCCCTGGCAATTGACAACAGATTGATAGGCATAATGGAATTCATCCAATTTCAACTGCAGTTGAAATTATATCTGAAATAATACTTTTACAATTTTTCCCTAAATATGGTGGAGGTTCTTTTCTGTAATGCCATCACTTTTCATTAGAATTCTTCATTCTGTCACAAGTTTTAAAAAGCATGTCAGTTTAATTAGCACGTGTGTTTAAAGAGAACTCTAATTACAAGTAAGTGGAGTGGTTTGAAGGAATAAATACCACAAAATATTAACACTGTGCATTTCTCATAGATCTTGTTAAAACATTATTATGAAAGTATCCCTATCTTCAGTGTAAATAGATGTTCTCATATTGCATTCATGTCGGTCACTGTCCACAAATTTTTCTTTAGTATTGCTATTTCTCAGGAATGCAAACGTGAATGGCATGCTGTTCTAGCTGATTTTTGTGGTCTGCTGAACACTGCATGAAAGGACATGCAAACTTCGCTGAGCATCTCAATAGCTTTGTTACTGCTCTTTACAGTTTCGTAAATGAACATTCTTGTTAAAATTGCATAAGGAATGAATGGTTTTATTTTCCATAACATGGTACTTTGTATTATAAATCTAAATCTTGATAAAATTATAATTTGTAGCAGAATTAGTTGTCACCCTTCATATGCCTTTTTTTCTTATCCTTTGGGGCTTTCTTTTGTGTTTTAGTGTTTGATCAATTAGATCTCGTCACATATGAAGAAGTAGTAAAGCTGCCAGCATTCAAAAGGAAAACACTAGTCCTACTAGGTAATTTTCAGTTACTTTTCTGAACATAGCATCATAGCTTTGAAGCCCTTCTGGTGGAATATTTCTAAATGATTTTTTTGTGTTGTGGCTCAGGTGCCCACGGTGTGGGAAGAAGACACATAAAAAATACGCTCATCACAAAACACCCGGACAGATTTGCTTACCCCATTCCTCGTAAGTAGCAGGGCTCAGTGTGCTGCAGAATTGTTTGTGTCCTCCTTGACAACACCCTCCTGCTTCTACTGCCTGTGTTCAGCTCAGCTGAGACAAATCCTGCCTGGAAGGTGGGAGCTGTGTAGGACTGGATCTGGTTCTTTTGCTTTTTCAAAGGGCAGGGTGCAAAGTAACACCACTTTTGCATCAAATATTCCTTACTATTCACAAAACTTCTTGTTAGAGATACATCTCTCTACCCAAATGTTTGTTAATTTAAAATGAAGGATAAAAGACTTCTCATTTTTAACTGTGTATCATTCCCATGAGCAGAAATATGAGCTGGGTTTAGAGGGAACCTGTAGTGTCTTAATTACTTCACACTGCCAAGTCTTAAGGACTGGTATTGCACTAAAATAGTTTTAGGTTTCCAGAGATGACACTAAGTAAAAGAAAACACACTTAATTTCACTGCTTGCCAGTGGGTTGTTATGAAAGGCACAGAGGTGTTTTCCCTTCATGACAATCTCTATGAGTACCCTGCAGGAAATGCAGATCCCATTTCATGGTCTCTTGGAGATGCATCCTTTTTCCTCAAGCTGAGCACACCAAAACAAGAGCATCCAGCCCCTACCTGTCCACTCTATTTCAGACTGACCTCAGAAATGCCATACCTGGCTCACAAGTGACACTCATTTAATTTTCTTCACAGAAAGTAGTGATTTTAACTGCAGATGCTTTTAAAATGGACTCACCTATACCATGGTGAGCATGCCTTAAGTTGCCTGGATTAGGTTCCAGCTCTGTGGTTCCTGCACTGAAATTGTTTCACTGATTTTATAAGACTAAGAAGAGGCATTTTCTGCATCCCTTTACAATGGCATGATCCAGTAGGTAGCTTTTGAGATTGGCCTTCAATTAGGTGAGGTGTTTGGAAGAATGTTTTATGAAGAAATTAGCTGTATACTGAAAACCAGATCAAAAATATCAAGTCAGGCACAATGGCAGTTAATTGTAAAGATTAGGAGGCCATACTTCTCTTACCACATAAGTCTGTAGAAGCAATATTCAAAAAGTATCTTATTCCTAAGTAGCTTTTACCTTTCTTGACCACAGGTAATCAGGTTTTTAAACTGCTTTTTAGACTTATCCTTTTCTCACTCAAAAGAACCTCATAAAATTTTTTAAAAAAGGAAAAAGCAGAAATGTTTTTGGGACAGAAGGGGATTTAGGAGAAATATGAGTATCTTAAGTTCAGTAGACCCTAGGGACTCCACTGCTGCTTTTTCCAACACATATCCCTCAAACTCCTGCTTTTCCCAGTGCCTGTCGTTCTGACTGCCTCATCCTTCATTGCTCTGTGTGTGTGATCTGACAGGTTCAGTTCAGTGAATAAGTATTGATAAAGAGAAAAAAGCCACATAAAACCTTAACATTGCTTCTGCACTAAAATATTTTGTATTTTCAGACACAACCAGACCTCCAAAGAAAGATGAAGAAAATGGCAAAAATTACTACTTTGTATCACATGACCAAATGATGCAGGATATATCAAACAATGAATATTTGGAATATGGCAGCCATGAGGATGCAATGTATGGGACAAAACTGGAAACAATACGAAAGATCCATGAGCAGGGACTAATTGCAATACTTGATGTAGAACCTCAGGTAACTAATTAGAAGTGTATAAAAATGGGACTCATCACAAATGCTTCAACTTTGTTTCATTGAAATGTTTTTATTGATTGCACACTAGGTAAGTGCTGCATAAAGTGATGTGAAGCAAAAGTCCTTGAACCACCAGGATATCAGTCTGTGGAATTCTGGTAATCATATGGTTAGAAGAACACAGAGAAGAAAAACAAGGCTCTGAAGAAACACTAATAGTTTATTTATTCATTGTAGAAAATCTGTGGAAAATTCTGATACATTTCCTTTGAAACATCTGTGCAGTCATTACTTTCAATTCACAGGGATCTGTTTATATGTTTTGTTAAATGAAACAACATGAATATAGACAATTGTGATGTTCATATTATTCTAGCAGATGGAAGGAAATGGGAGGAAGGACAAAATTGTGACCCAGGTTATCTACTTAAATTTGCTGACTTGTTTCTTCTTTGTAAATGGATTCAGGAAGTTCAGATTTTTCTAAGAATTTCACAACAGAAATGAGATACCTGCCTAAACTATTTAAGAGAGTTCAGAGTATGATGGTGTGGTGATGTTCTTAGAAATAAAATCCCACATTTAACAGCATTCAGGGAGAGCAGAATTATAATGAGTTCAAATGAAGCAGCTGTTAACAGCAAACTCTCTTGATAAACTTTTTCAATATACATAATTCAAGAGCTGTACAATTCTCAGAAGAGATTTTAATCTTTGTTGGAATATATTTACATTTTGTAACAGCTGCCTTTGCCACATTTCCTCCAGCTCATGTCCAGCAAGGCACTTTGCTAACCAGCTTCCTCATTCATCCATCTCAGCTCATTGAGGCCAGCCTGTTTGTGGATTTATTCCTGGTTCTCTTACACCCCTTGCCTGTTCTCCCTTGGGCACTCTTATGGATTTTCTTGCATTTCAGTTATGGGGTTTGTCTCTTGTTTGGAACAGGCTGACAGAGGTGATTCCTGGTGGCAGCAGAGATGAAAACCTTTTAGCTGAAGGAGAGGGTGGATTATGGGGGTTTTTTTGTTGGTTTCTTAAAAAGAAAAAGCTTTGGTGAAGACAGTAATCAAAAGAGCAAAGCCAGAGTGACCTTTAGCAGTCTGACTTTATCTTGTCCATCCCTTTGAGTTCAGCTGAGGTGTTTAACCCAATGTCCTGCACTTCAGTCCAGCCCAGGTCTGTGACAGTGTCACACATGGCAGCTCTGGGTCACTCAGTTCAGTAAGGGAACTCTTTAATGACAGCTTTTCTCTTTTGCACAGATTTGGTTCAGGAGCCTGGAGCTGTATTTATTGCATTCAGTGCTATGCTCAATTTTTAAACACTTCAAATTTCTCACATCGCATTTCATTTTTTTAAAATAATAATTATATAATAATAAAATTTATACTCTAATCAATATTCTAAAGCACAGTTGGCTCTTTTCCCTATTTATGGTATACCTGGTTTTTTTTTACATGGCATTTCATCAGTCAGTTTAAATGTAAACAGAATTCCACACTCTTTGAGACTGTATGGGGAGAGGCACTCTGAAAATGCTAAAGCTTTTACTGTCTCATAAACTCCCTTTAATTAAGGATAAATACATGTTTTGACCACCAAAAATATAAAATAATAGAAAAGGCTAGGTGTCTGTATTACTAAGGTTTTGACTCCAGTTAAAACAAATCCAGCATTGGTAGATCATGAATTTGTGTCTTTTGCTTGTGTGACTAAACTTACTTCACATTGATTGTTGGAGATTTCCTCTAAAGTATCTGATTTTTTTTTCCCCTAGGCATTGAAGGTCCTGAGAACTGCAGAGTTTGCTCCTTTTGTTGTTTTTATTGCTGCACCTACGATTACCCCAGGCATTAATGAGGTATGGCACGTTGCAATCTGATGTCCTGGCAGAGACAGAATTAAGGATGGGGTTCAAATGTGCAAATCAGACTCTTCAATTGTTTCCTTGTTTGTAAATGAAGAGGCAGAAAAATAATTTAATCACAGCTTTATTAAGTCGATTGACATACATTTATTGTTTATGAACCAATAATTCAAAATGTGGGCTTCAAAAGGAAGGATCCATGTGCTGTATGCTAAAAGTACATATTCTTGTATTTCATTCCCTGCTCCAGCTCAAAGATCCATTTCCAAATCATTGGCACAAATTACTCAATTGTGAGTTGCAATGCCAGCACTGATCATCCCACCTTTACCTTTAGCATTTTCCCTGCACAGCAAATAAGTATCAGAAATAGGCTTGTTCATTTTGACACCTGTCCTCTAAGAACTGGAATCTTTGGGTAATTGCTTGTGGAATTCATGCTAAGTATTCATGGAGGTCCACATCATCCATTTCCCACTTAGTTTTTATAGGGTATCTGCTCTTGCTGCTGATTTCAAGGATATCAAGCAATTCTGGATTTAGCTGACACTAACACAAACTCCATTTTCACAAACACCTTCCTAAAATCATGATATTAAAGTATTTAATCTGTTGGATTTGATCATGAATCTGTTCCAGATATCCTAGATGTCTCCTTGATCATCAAAACACAAAGTCAGAAGCCGTGTCACTAGAGCAGGTTTCTGTAGAAATGTAATTACAATATCATATGCAAGAAACTGTGACATCACTGCAGAGGCCTGCAGGAAAGGAGGGAGCCAGACTTGCACATTTAAATGCAAATAACCTGAATGATAATTCAAACCAAAAGTGGAAAGTGAAGAATTTTGGCCTCAAGCTGGAATTTTACTGACAGCTGAGGCATTCTGCTTGTTCACTAAGATACTTTAGTGAGTTACTTCAGCTCTAAATTGGAGTTTTGTTAATTTTTAAGCACCAGTGCTAGAACAAGCAGTGACAGAGGGACAGGAGGGGGAAGATGGCTCTGTTCACTTTCACAGCATTATATCATTTCACTGTGTCTTAGAGACCCACACCCTAATGGTACAACCCAAGAGTGTAAAAACAAAGATCTCTCAGCACAGCCCAGCTTGCCATGTTAGTGAAGTGACACTTCATGTAGCTGCTGGTGTGATGCTGTGAATCAGTACAATCTGGATAAAATACTAGAATTTTGTCACCTACACTAAATTTTCCTTTGTGTAAACAAATAGCATTGCATCAGGTACCCTGTAAAATTCACAAATGCTCAGCCTTTTTGCCTTCATACCTGCTCAGCTCCCAAATAGTCTTTCCTCGGCCTCACTCATTTGCCAGTGGTACTTAAATTTTAATCTTCCAGTTAGGATGTAATACAGAGATACTTGGGACAGTTCATGTGAGGGAGAAAACTTTTTCCCTCATACACTGGAAAGAGAACAAAAATGTGCCTTTTACAGTAGTGGTGGGGAAGTACTTCATGCCAAAGAATTAGCAGGTTGGTGCTGTAAAACCTGTTTTAAGCTCCTGTGACATAAGTCTCTGTACCTGCAGGGTTTCACCCAGGCACATGAATTGCTGAGCCAAGGCCACACTTACAATATGTGCTAATTTAATTAATCAATTAAAGCAAAGGAAAGGGAGGGGCAGGCAATGGTAATAGCAACAGCCCTTACCCACGCACAGAATCCTGTTTTCCAAGGTTTTCTGGGCAGATAAGCAAAGTGTGTCTGTGTGTAGCAGCCTGCAGGGCAGCAAACAAGGATGAGGAGTGTGTGTTTCCTATTTCCCATTCATGCTTCCTTTTTGAAAGGTTCATTTGCATAATGAGTGTCCCTTTCTGTTGATCCTCTTGCCCTGCCTTGTTTTATTTTACTTGCACTTTTTGAGAACACTTCTGTAACGACTGTCCTTTTTTCCCCTCCCCATGTTTTCTTAAAATTCATCTTTGCTTTTCTTTTCATTTTCTTGCATTCGTACTAATTGTACATAGCTGCCAAAATGGTGCAGAAAACTGCCTGTAAGTACCAGCTAGGGGCTCACAAGGTAGTCCTGGTTATTGCAGTAGTTCTAGAATGTAGACCTGCTTGTTCCCATGCAACATTACTTTTACCATTGGAGTCAAAATTTAATATAATAATGACTTTTGATATCTGCACTAAAATTGCCTGCTAGCAAAAGAGGCTATGGAGAAAAAAATATATTCTTACAGATATATATCTGAACTCTGTGGTAAAACCAGTGCAGAGGCCTGATCCTAACAGTGCCTCTCTTGAGACACTTGATGATGCTGTCAGAGACCACACAAAATGTCTCAGTAATTGAGGCCCACACAGCAAGAGTCAGGAGACAAAATATTATCCTTTCCAGAGCAATAGCAATAGCAATGCACCCTGAGCAGAACTGCAAAGCACAAGCCCAATGTAAATCGTATAGCGAATCTCCCAGAGTGCCCCCACCTGTCTAATCACAGAGGAACCTTAAATCTGATGGTTGTTGTGCTAGAACAGAGGAGAGAGTGCATCAGAAAACCTTGGGGTGATTCCTCTTTCCTCCAGCTGTTCCTACCTCCTTTGCCCAGACAGCAGCAAAGAGATCACAGGCTCCATTTGTTTGATGTAAACCTTATGGAGCCAAATTCTTCAGACTTTTAGCTGTGCTTCCTCACTTCCTACAGCCAAAGAATAAAAGGAATTTTTCTTAAAAAATGTGGAGCCCACCAACTGTTTAAATTGTGAATTTCTTTCTGTTGAAGCAAAACTGGCAAAGGCCTGATGGTGTTTCCACATTGTCCACAGCCTTAGAAGGGAATATTAGTAATTTTTTGGGCTGGGCTTTGATTGCCACAAGTGGCAGCTGTTGTTTTATGTACTTTCAGGCTAAAAAAACCCAGCCCTCAAAGAGTGAAGGTGCCACATGTGGCCTTTATGTACATGGGTATTTCATGGATAAAGCCATGTTTAACTCCTTTCAGCTGTGGTGGAAAAGGAGAGATTATGAAATTAGGAAGAAAAGGAGAGATTATGAATTAGGAAGAAAAAGTCTGATCCAGCAATGGACGCACAGCAACTAGACCCAGATAAAATTCCAATTGCACAAGAGCTGAGGGAAGAAGGAAATGCAGATGTTGTGCTCCCAAATGTTAATTTCTGAAGTTGTGGCCGTTCATTTGTCTGCAGCTCACTGAACATTTTGATAAATATCTTCTTCCTTGACACTATTGAGAGCACAACTGCTGAAGAATTTCCTTCTTGGAACATAAGCTGAGATGTTCAGTATGCAAAATTTAATTAAGACATTTTAGAGAAGATGAGAGGAACTTACTACAGCAAATACTTTGATTACAGCTAGCTTCAAAGATGAATTTTGGAATTTAAGTCTTGCAGACTCAGAGAAAACAGCCAAGTCTGACATATCACAAACACAGGTGAAAGTTAGTCCCAAAATGAAACAAAAACAAAAATCAAGAGCTTTGTCTCTTTTCCTTTTGCTGAGCTTAGGAAAGTTTGAACCTATATGAAACTTATTGCAATGGCTTATCCCAAACTTACTACTGCCCATTAAAGTATATGAAAGAAGTAATGTATTACATTTCCAGCAGGCTGGGAAATTTAGATATTCCAAAATAAAGACCACTTTGGTCCCAGTAAAGTTGGATCTGGGAGAAGCTAAGTCAGAAAAATCCTGAAATGTAATGAATTTTTGAAAGACTTAGTTTTATGGAACCTGTGTGTGCAAGGTAAACTTTACCAGTTCACTTTTTTTTAGAATGAGATAGCTGTAAGATTTTCAGATTTTCATTGTCAGTCACAGTAGGATAGATGCTGTAGTGAGAAAAGTCCAAATCTGTAGGTAAAAATAACATTGATGGGAAATCTGAATAATAATTCAAAATCTGCATAAGGACTTAACAGTTCTGAGGCTTCCAGGGGCTTCTCAGGCACTGTTAGCCCTGTGTCATGAGATCAAAACTCTTTTCAAGGTGCACTATGATTTGGACAAGACAGACTATAAATACAAAATCAATCTTAGCTAGATACATTTAAAGCATTGAAAACAGTGTGCATGATGAATTATTGACCTTCCTTTATAGGTTAATTTAAGTAGGAAAGGTTTGATGCTCAGCTAATACAAATTGGTGTCTCTTTTGGAATCTCTGAGAATTTGGAAGTTCACCTAACTAGGGTTTTGACTTAAAAACACTGGGCCATATGAAATAATCCACAAAAATGTTTAATACTAGTGTTGATCCACATTGTTCTCTTTATTAATAGCATAAATTACATTTGGATACACTGGAATTTTCTACAGAAGTTCCAGGAGTTGCAGGTGGTGCATAATGGCCCATCCAGGGAACATCCCTTGTACAGAAATGCATGTGAGGAGTATTTGCCTGACTTGGAAGGAAATTTGTAATAATTTTCAAGTGAAGACAACCACACCACACAGCCCCCTCCCCATTTGAGGCTGCAGCTTCAGGAGAGAAGCAGAACTGTATCTCTGGCAGAGAACTTCTCCTCCAGAAGTGGCTGGTTTCATTGCTGCAGGGAAGGAGAACTGTCTCAGAGCAGGTTGTTTCCTTGAGGGGACCTGAAAGCTCCTGTTCCACAGCTACTTGCCACTGTAATTACAAATACTTGGGAAACTGAAACAGAAAAAAATAAAGGTGGAGATCATCTTAACAGCTGGATAAAAATCAGTTTCCAGAATAATTTCTAGTGACAAAGCTGTGGGCACTGTGTCTGTTTAGCAAAGTGTATCCCAGCTGATTGATCGAGTAGAGTCAGCCTATGGATGCTGCAGAGCAGCAGGAGTCACTTTGCACCAAATCCACCCCAAACCTGTGGGACAGGAAAGACTTGATTGCTTTCCTGTGGCTATTTCAAGGTTCCTGAAAACAGCAAATGGGTTTGTTGGTTTTTTTTTAATTCATAAAGAAATTTGCAGGAGGAGAATTCAAACTTACAATTGCTGCAGAGCCCTGGGAAGAAGCCTTCTGCATGCAGCTGCCTCAGGCAGGCAGACCTCACTAACAAAGGTCTGATGTCCAGGTTGCCTGGTTCATCTCCAGGATCTCCCACTGTGAGGGGCTGGAAATGCCCTGCTCTGAGACAGAAACCACAGAGCAGTGATGTGGAGTGAGAACTTCCTTATCAGTAAATTGTCATTGAAGGAAGCAGACCCAGAGGATTGGTGTGGAACAGAAAACATTACCAAAAGTGGGAACAGCTGATTCCTGACAGCCTCTCCCCCTCCTCCCATTTCTCACATTCTCACTGGGACCTAGGCCCAATAGCTCTTACTTGTGCACCAGGTCTGATTTATTCACATGTGGTCTCCATTGCTGCTTTTCCAAACTTCCATCCTCTACCTTGCTTTTTTAACTCTAGAGCTGTGTTTGTCTCCCAGAACGTCAATAACTGAGTGCTGTTTGAGTGTCAGCTTCCGGAGGGAGCTGTGCCCTTTCTCCCATGTGATTCCCATAGCTGTAGGTGGGAGAGCTAAAGCACCTCAACTCCCTGAGGCCTTTTTGCCCATTTCCTTCTCAGCTGAGGAGCTGTTGTGGGACAGCACAAAACAATCCAACTTTTGTTTTCTCCTGTTTCTCTCCCGGCCGCCGCACAGGATGAATCCCTTCAGCGCCTGCAGAAGGAGTCTGAGATCTTACAGAGAACATATGCACACTACTTTGACCTAACAATTATCAACAATGAGATTGATGAAACCATCAGGCACCTGGAGGAAGCCATTGAGCTCGTGTGTACAGCCTCCCAGTGGGTCCCGGTCTCCTGGGTCTACTAGACCAGGAATGAGAGAATCGAGAAAAGAAAAAATCTGTCATTACTGGGAACCACCTCATACATGGAAAACCTCTTCGTTATTGACCTTGTGTCAACAGGTCTTGGCCCCTAGAGACTACCTAGATGTAGTGTGACCTAAAATATAATTATTGTCATGTCCGAATAGATAGGAGGAGGGGGAAAAAAAGATGAAACACTAATTTAAAGAGACAGTATCTTTTTTTTTAATCATTTCTCCTAAACTTTAATAAAATGTATCTTTAAATGTATGTACTATTCAGTCTTTTGGAATGTTATATTTTTGGAAATCATAGCTTTTTATTTCAAGGGCCCCTAAAAACTGCACAAAATAGATGCTGCTTTCTATAATCTATTTTAATAGTAATAATAATATGATTCTGTTACCTTAACTTGGGGGTGGAACACTACATTCTTTTTAGAGTCTGATTTTATGGATTGGAATACTTTGCTTTCCTTTATTTATTTGAAGTAATTAGTCTAGTGATTACAAAACAAATTCATAAATTTTAAAGGCCTTTTTTTTTTCATGCTTTTTTTTTTTCTCTCCTAGGATAGTATTTTTAAGTACTTTTTTGTGTAACATCCAGCTAATGTGATACTGTCTCTTTGAAGAACTCTGTAAAAGTTTTAGAAATTTGAAATTGGGTCTTGACTCTTAATGCATGTGGACAGTCGCAAGCGTTCATGCCGTTGGTGTATCTGTGTTGATAAAACCTGTAATCTACAGCAAAGTACATTCCGTTCATGGGAACACGTACCCAAGGGAATAAAGCAAAATATTATTCTGACTAAGTTGTAAACCTATGCACATCCCTTGCATTTTGGGCAACTTTCTAAAAAAAAAAAAAAAAAAAAGAAAAACTGATTTTTATTAATAATAATCATGTAGTGAAATGTGTTTGTAATTTTGTCTCAATTTAATTTGTTGTAAGGTGGGAGGGGGCAATTACTGGTTTCACCATTTCAGATCTGTGTTGTCTGAGAGTATTAACGTTTTAATTAAGTTGAAGCAAAGAAATGCTGATTTTTAATATGTATGTAATTGTTTAAAGATGCACACATTTTAAAAGAAAATACTGTGCAATGAAGAAACCAGTTTAGACATTGCGATAAACTGACTATTCCAAAAGACTCATCTACAATAGCCCTGTAAATTCCTTTAAAAATGGTAATTGACTCTACAGTCTGACCAATTTTTTTTTATTTTAAATATACTTCCTTTTATGTGTTCAACAATTAAATGCTTTTGGGTCCTTCATTTCATCACAGGGAGTTTCAAGAGCAAATCAGTGACTCGTGCAGTGAGGAAAAGTGTCTTCAAGGGAAGCCTTTCTAGGGACACAGCCATCAGTCTGTCCCAGGGGCTCCTGGATCAGCACAGGCTTCCTTCCACAAGGCTGGAATTAGGGCAGAGCCAACTGAGAAGGTGTAACCATGGATGGCCTGGCACTTCATTTTCCTTCTTCGTGCCCTCGCTGGCCCACATGATCTGCATTTTCTCTGAAAATGGTTAAAGGCAGCAGGCATTGCCACCTCTTTTTAGGTGTCAGAAGCACACTGTTCCTTGAAATGAATTCTCAAAGTTTGGTTGGCTGTGCTGTTGTATAATATGAATTCTAGTGTTTATATTTAAATGATACAGGATTTTTTCCTCACAGTGGAACTTGCAGCTGGAATTTGTCTGTGGGCTGTTCCAGTTGTTAGGGACCATTGCACATGCAATCAGAAAAGGGTTCTCAAGGTTGAATCTTTCTCACAACGGTAATCCTATAGCTAATTTTCTCCTGCCTACTCCTTCTGCAGGTTGGTTGGCCAAAAATGTTTACAATTCTTGTAAAATCCACAGCTGCAATCTCAGTCTGGCTGTGCCTCCTCCCACCCAGCCAGGGCAGGCAAAGGTGTTTTATTTCCTGCAGCATCCAGAGCCTGGCTTGCAGCCCACAGAAGGGAAATTCGTCCATCACTTTACCCCACCTGCTGAGTGCCCTTAGTGCCACAGCTGGAATCACAGTTCTGTGCATCCCAGAACAAGAGCTGTACCTGAGTCCCTTGAGGTTGTGGTTTTGTGGGAAGTAATGGATGAGAGTCAGCGTGGGCCTCACGTGGAAGGAAACAGGGGAGCTGTCAGAGGAGTTGTAGGTGCTTATCTGTTCTGGGTCTAGCCCCACAAGGAGGGCATGGTGCAAACTGTGAACTGTTCAGTGAGTAAGAGGTAATTTTTCAAGTGGTTTTGTTGTTTAGTCCTGGTGAAGCGTAGCTGGTGTCCTGTAGGCAGCTCTTGCAGTGGTGAGTCCACAGTGGCTGAGCTCATGGAAGTGAAAGGGTTAATTCACTCTCAGAACTACCTCTTTTCCCAGCAAAGCACAAAGATGGGAAGACCTACTGAAAATCAAGCAGTGGAGTGTTTCTGATGTTAGAAATACAAACTTCTCTGGTGAGCATTGGTGTCTGACTTCAGTGCCACATTTTTCATCTCAAATGTTTATGGCATTAAACAGGTAAAGTAATTTTGATAATTTGAGTATAGTCCATCATAAATGTTTTAACTACACTTTTGACTCTGTTAATGTGAATTTCTTGGAGTTCTGTGTATCCAGCTCATAAGGAAAGAAATCTCACAAGGCCCATGAGGGTGCTTCTGCCTTATGTAGATGACAATAAGTAGTGATTTGATGTAACTAATACCTTTTCTTCTCTTAAGTGGAACTACCATTCAGTAATGCTACACAGTAGAAAGATTGGAGAGCTTTGTTTCTTTTAATGCTGTATAACCTTTTATCAAGAGACAAAAACTGTAAAGCACACACTTAGCATCCTGTCTTGCCTCCTTTACCACAGTCTGTTTTCCTTGTAGGAGCCTTCAGTAGCAAAAGATTAAATTTGAAACCCTGCCTAGGCTTTAAGTTCAGCAGATCCACAGCACACAGTGAGCTCCTTGAGCAGATTTCAGCACAGTCTCAGACAGAGCAAGCCCAGGACTCCTTAGTCTGTCCAATCCTCCCACCCTGCTCAAACCCTTCTGAATGTCTCTGTTGTTTGTGGGGTACATAGAGGGCAAAATTCTGCAGAAATGGAGCTGGAAGCTTCACCTGCATGGAGAAGGCTCCTGCAGGCGCAAAGCTGGTGTTACAGTTTGTTGTTTTTTTCAGTCTCCAAGTGGAGAAGGGTCCTCCTGGTACTGTAAATATCACTGCATAATTTGGAGCACCACATGGACTTCTCTAAATTTATGCTGAATGTGACCTCAGAAGCAGCCCTGGGATTGGGAAGAAACAAATGTTTCTGTTTGCCCCTTTTATACTTTATTTTTGTACAGGGGCTCATAGATTTGTAAAGAAAACTTGATCTTATCAGTATGCTGCCTCTCAGTCTGACTGATGCCTGTGATTTCAAGGTGTTAAGTTGGTCCAATAAATGTTCATTAACCTCTGCTTCCATTTACCTAATAAAAGTACACTAGGTTACTCAGTGTCTCAGAGTGGTCAGATTATTGCATGGAAATGGTAGCCTAGCTTAGACTCCTGGCCACTGCCAGATGGACATTCTTAATCTCATCACTAAACCCAAATTCTTCCATGTGTTCTAGCAGTGGTTTTCTTTGTATGTGGTTTGGTCAAGAGCAATGCTGTGCCATTCACCTCTGAAAGAAAACACCACTACCTACCTCAGAAACTTCATGAAGAAGGTTACTCAGTTGACTTTGAAAACACAGCCAAGAAGAATAAGTGTTGCAACCTGAGCAACGTTGGGCTGGTGTGTATACTCCAAAAACTGGGTACTAGAGCCGCTAGGAAAAGTTAAAGCACAGATTAAGCAGTATTTGTTCCATTTTTATTCTTTTCTATAAGGAAATTATTTCAGAGTCCTGTTACCTAAAGAAATAATTGGAAATGCTGCCAGAGTTTCCAGGGGTGCTTTGTAAATCTGCATTGAAATCCTAGATGCAAACAGTTCTGGCCCCATTCTCTTCCACTGCAGATAGTATTCAACAATTTTAATTAAGGTTGTTAGAGCTCAATTTCAGGCTTTAAAATATTTCATAGAGAAGGATTTTTGAAAACTACAGAAAAATCTATCTATTTCCTGACTATTATTGTAAAGTTATCTGTTTTTATAAGCTAAATTGACAGAGGATGAGCTAAAGCAGGCACCATAAAAAGTCTGAGGTTTTTTATGTAAAGCATATTCATTTCCTTAATAGACTTGTCTCAGACTTATTTCTTCTCTACCTTTAATGAGCTCAGAGACAGTCATAACTCGTACCAAGGAAACTGCTGCACATTATGTCAAATAGTCACATATAAATCAAAATATCTGCACAACAGGAAGCATGTCATTGACCAGCAGAACAGAATAAATTCTGAATAATTGTGCCTCATGTCTACACCATGGGGACAAGTGCACAAGCTTAAAATAGAAGAGACTATTTTTACTAATGCTACACAAAACAAAAATAGAAAGCCACTTCCCACATGTAAATGTTTGCAGTGTTTTGGGGTTTTTTGCTTGCTGATACAGTAAGTGCACCTATAGTAAATTCTACTTTCTTCCCCTTAAGTGATTTTTAACAATCTCCTGCTCTAATCCTGTGAAAGCTGGACTGAAGCAAGTACAAACATTCTTGACTCCTTAAACTTTAGCCTCAGAGTTAAGCCTCTTTCTCAGACCTTGATGGTTGATGTTTTTCATGTAATCTTAACCTTTCTAAGCAAAAATAGTGGGAGGGAGAGTGTTTATGCATTTCCATGCATCCTGCTGAATCTCTTAGCAGCTGTCATGGGACAATCAAGAACATTAAATCTGGCCAATCTCTGTGTTCTTACTAAAATGTACCTTGAGCCTCCATTGGTGGTGTGGAAGATAACTGAACTAGTAGCTGTATGCTTGAAAGAATTCATGTTGATTATTAGCAAAGTAATACTTGCAATTCTCCCTTTGCAGCAGCCATAGCTTGTTTTAGTGTCTGCATAATGGAAGCACCCATGAGGAAGGGTGGAATTTGCTTATCTTTAAGTGTAGCCCATTTCAAAGCTGGAACATGAGTCTGTGTTCCTCCATTGTTGGCCATCCAGGCGGAGCCCTCATCATTCTCCCCAAAATGTAAATAGATGCAAAATAGCAGAATTGCCTCATACTTGGGTCTGTCTGTGTTGCCACCTGCTTCCCCTCACAGTTACATTCTTACAAACTTGATTTTAAGGTACATTTTCCTACCAGTCAGGAAGTGTGGTTTATCCCTCAGTATTACTTGGTATCCTTAATTTGAAAGGTGTCTGAAGGTTCATGTTCATCTCAAGCAAAGAAACCTTCTGTGATCCATGGCACAATTGCAATGGTCTGGAATTCCAGTTTCCAGCAAGGAAAAGATGTTCCTGCCCTCTAAGGCAAAGCTCTGAAAGGGCTGAAACCCAAGTGGAGCAAGATCTTACAATGACATTTCACTGCCAGCCTTCATGACTTAACCCAGGGCTGTTTCAGCACATGGACTGGGGAAAATGATGAGGTGAGACTCTGGCTGAGCTGCCATGGGTAATGACAGGCACAGGAAAGAAACAGAGCAGGCAGAGAAGGACAGAAGAGAAAGGAGGACACAAGGAGCACTAAGCTGAGAAGGTGCCACTCTGAAAACCAAAGTGGAATTTACTGAAAAGGAAGAGGACAGAAATCAAGAATTCTGACACCTTTATTTACTATCCAAATACAATTTCCTCCTTGTATCACAAACCTCCTCCTGAAAAGCAGAGTCATCCATCATGGCTTCCAGAAGTGCTTGGTTGGAATGGATGCTGCAGGCTGCAGACACAAGGAAATATGGAATGGTGTGTTTCCTCCTCTCAGCAGAGGACATGATGGGGCACCAGGAGAAAAGGGCAGCTTGGGTTTGCTCTTCAGTAGGACATGGAGGGCAGAAAGTTCTCGTGGTCTGTCCTGTTCTCTCAGTGATGTGGAGGCTGATCCCAGACCCCGGGGTCACCTTGAGGTGCCTCCATGCAGTGATCACTGGGTATTGAAGAGCAACATGAATTAAAACCATGCAAAAAGTTGGTTTGATTTTGTGGTTATTTTGGACAGGGTTTTGTGGGGGTTTTTTTTGAGAACCAAAGTATGACAAGCATTACTGCTCTCTTTCAAAAAGCCACAAACCAGCTGATGGAAACCTAAGCTGCTTGTCAATAATTAGTGTCATTCATTGTTTCTATTCCATATCAATTGTACAGTTTTCTTACAGTAAAACTTTTATTATGTTAGCTACACTTCATAGAATTCTTCCCAATCACACAGTTTGTTTCAAAGGTCTTACTCTAACCACTAATATATTAGAGAAATCAGGGTTGCAATTTATTTTAAATCCATTGCATAT